ATATTGGGTCATCTAAAAAGTATCCGCGGTTTTTTGTCACTAGATGTGTGTTGATGGTTATATATCTAGTGACAAAGTACCGCGGATACTTTTTAGATGACCCAATATATTATTTTATATACAATATTTATTTACTGTCATTTTTTAATTTGTCACAATTTTTGAGCATTTTTTAGCATGAATTCAAAATTTAGAAAATAATGCGTTTAAAAAACTGGAGGGAATGGCTAAAACATGGCGGACCAATCACAAGTGATATCCGTATGGCGTCACTCTGATTGTAGGCTCTCTAGTTATTTACGAATGTTAAACAAGAAAGACATAACACTCAGAAAACATAACATCCAGGGAATCCAAACACGTCTCGGCATGTTGATTAATCATGCTTGTGAGAGACAATTTTTTCCGTTTAAACCAGCTTAACCTTGTTAGCTAACAAGGTTAGTTTTTATAAGTATATGAACATGCACACGCACACATGCAGGCATTGGCGGAATCCGCAAAAGAAATAAATTTGCATAACAGAAAACAGCGGAATCAGCGAAATGAAGCCACGACCAATCACGAACGTTCTGCAGTTTCCGCATATTTGCAGTCAGTATTGCCAGATACCAGCAAAGATTTTCCTGTTGACATATAAAAATCTCCCTAGTTTTCCCTATTTCTCTTTAAAAATTCATAAAATTTCTCGTTTTTCCCAAAATTTTTTGCTAATTTCTCTTATTTCTCTTAAATTCTCAAAAATTTCCGTTTTTTCAAATTTTAGTTTTTTACAAATTTTATTAAAATAAAATCATAAATTATTTTTTTTATTAATGTATTAATTTGGAATTATCCATATAATAAATATAAAATAAAACATACATATTATATGGAAAATATATAATAATAAGCATGTTGTAAGAATACCAGGGGACTTATTACGGGGGACTTGAAACGAAGTGAAAATTACGAAAGTGATCAAATTTTCTAGAACATTTATAACCTCATTGATTAACACCTAGTGAATTTGCTCATTTTTGTAATTTCCATTTCGTCTAAAGAACCATAATAAGCCCCCTGGTATTCCGTTCCCGTGGTTGCGGTGAATTTAGGCAAAAATTGGATTGACTATTCCAATATGCCAGTGCTATTATATTCAGGAAAGTCAATAGGCAAAAATTTGATTGGTTGTTTCCAGTATTGCTATTACTGTTATATGCAACGGAATACCTAATATCTTTATATCATGATGATAAGTACTATAAATTAATGAATAATATATTTTATTGTGCAATATTAAAGAAATAAATAATGCGTATTGTTTTAACATAAGTCTAATACGGCATCTACAATGGAAGTCGTATCGGTTGTGAAATCTGAGAGTGCCGTTCCATGTATACGGAATCGGAACGACGGAACGGATTTGTTACTAGAAATTTTTAGATCATTACAATGCCGTTCCATAAGAAGTTTTTCTACCCTTTCCATGTAACCGGAAAAAAAAGAGTCGGAATGTCATCTCGGTCGCAAGTTAATTTGCTTAATTTAATCAATATTTCGTTATTTTAATGCGACTAAAGCATTAATATGCATAATTTGTGTAATTATCTTACCTATAACATTACTTTGAATACTCAAAAATACTAAATTATAAGAGTGAGATATATTTCGTTACTAAAATTCCATTGCATTCCGGCTACATGAAACGGGTAGAGAAAATTTTTACGGAACGGAATGGTTCAGCTGAGTTGGTTGAATTTAAAAATTGAAACAAATATTCAGAAACCTTTTTTTTTTTAAATCTACAACGATGGATGAAGAAGTAGTGTTATCTGTAATGTTAAAATTATTGAAATGCAAGAAATATGCCAAGTTGGCGTGCTATTTAAGAGAATATGAAAATTGTATTTTGCTTATAATATTTTATTACAATATCAAAAATATATACACGAAAATAAAAATTTTGGGTACGGCCAATGTTTACAAAGAATGAGGCGTTTTCAAGGCGCAAGTGACAATTTAGTCGTTGGAATGCAAACCGATCGTGAGAAGTTCTTCAATTACTTTAGAATGACATCGGTATTATTTGAAGAACTATTGGCATTAGTTGGACTACGTATATATAAAATAAAAATATATCGTATTGAAAAATAAGTAATATAATTATTATTAATTTTCTTCTTCAAAGTTGTCAAATTCTCAACCATCAACAATAGCCGAATCGACATAGCCTGCAATCGACATAACATTCCGTTGATTCCATATCGTCTCTATATCGTTCCGACCATGATTCCGGTAGTTCCGATAGTAGAGAAACTTCTTACAGAACGGAATGCTAGTGAACTGATTTCTAGTAAGAAATCCGTCCCGTCGTTCCGATTCCGTGTACATGAGACGGCATCTTCAGAGAATCATTTCAAGGATTAAATTGTCACTTGCGCCTTGGTGCCACTCCAGCAAACGAGAATGGATCGAAATGAATTGAAATGAATTCAGATTTTCAGAAATATTGAATCATGAATGTTAAAGTGAATGTTTTTCAATCCTGAATGCATTTTTATTTATTTATAGGAATTGCATGGAGCATATCTCTATGCCTTTCAATCTAAAAATAATATTAGCTTTTTCTGTGTAAAACAACACAAATTGTGAATAATGTTCAATTCAAAATTTTGAATAGGAAATACAGTTTTTCAATCCAATTGCATCCAATTGAATTTAATTGAATCTAATTGAATCCAATTAAATCCAAAAAAAAGTATTTAATATATCCATTCGGATAGAAAAAAAATTTCAATTCATTTTAATCCATCCTCGTTTGCTGGGATCTTATTCTGTGTAAACATTAACTGTATCCAGAATTTTCGTTTTCTTGTATATTTCTGCTATTGTAATAAAACGTTATAAGCTAAATAAAATTTTCACACACTTTTAAATATTGGAATAGCATACCAACATTTCTTGCCTTTTGCAATAATTTTAACATTAGTAATAACGTTACTTCTTTATCCATCGTTGTAGATTTACAAAAAAAGTTTCTGAATATTCGTTTCAATTTTTAGATTCAACCAACTCAGCTGAACATGCCATTTCGTTCCATAAAAATTTTCTCTACCCATCCCATGTCGCCGAAACGCAATGGAATTTTAATAACAAAATATATTTCACTCTTATAATCAGTATCTTTGAGTATTCAAAGTAATGTTATAGGTAAGATAATTGCACAAATTATGCATATTACTGCTTTAGTCGCATTAAAATAATGAAATATCGATTAAATTAAGCAAATTAGCTTGCGACTAAGGCGACATTCCGTCTCCATTCTGTTTCCATTCCGTTCCATCTGGGACGAGTAGAGAAATTTTTTACGGAACGGAATTGTAGTAAACTCAATTTTCTAGTAAGAAATCCGTTGTTCCGATTCCGCGTACATGGAACGGCACCCTCAAGTCTAAGGTCGAAATCAGACTATGCATTGAAGAATGAGATTGAAGATTGAAAGATTGAAATTTGA